CCGCCAGCGCCCCGCAGCGGAGCCTCCCCGCGCCGTGCCCGGGGCGAGGCCGAGCGCAGGCCGCAGCTGCCCCGTCACAGCCCCGTCCTCCCCGCGGTCTCCTGCTCGGACCGTTTTCCTACAGCCCATCGGCTCACATTACTGATGTCCGGTTAGTCGCCGTTCCTTACAAGTGTCTCTAACATGGCACGGGAAACGGTCAAAGTTACCTCAGCTGACAGGTAGAAGCGATACGCAACTTCTTACCTATGCTGTTGCCAATATTCAGCTGGAACTTAGGCCTTGAATTAGGTCCTTTATGCTGGGCCTCAACTGCTGAGTTGGCTTATCACAATAACGGGTTGTTGTAGCTATAAATCATGAAAACTGCGTGTGAGAAACCAAAGCAAAGCGAGAGCCATGTACTGGGGTTGCGGGGTGAAGGAGAGCTTTCCTTGCAGACAAAGGCAGCCTGCGTGCTGTGGAAAGTACACCTCGGCGAGTCTCCACGGGGCAGATGCAGTTGCTGTTAGCAGCCTCCGTCAGCAGACGTGAGGACATTGCTACAGAGTATTGAGAACGTGAGACATCGTGCTTGCGCTCCAGAGCAACGAGGACTAAAGGATCTGAGGAGAATTCGTCCACGTCCCACTTTGCCACAGTGAGATCTCGCTGTGATGAGGGAGAAGTTGGAGCTGTGGCACAGTCTGCTCCACCTGTACTAGCCACTGCCACTTGACCTCTTAAAAGAGTTAAATTTTGACGGTACTGCCACTACATGGCTTTAGAGGTACCTCTTCGCAGATGACATTCTCCTTATAGTTTTCTCACTTTTCTTTAAAACATGGCCTTTTTTTTATAGTATGACCATAAGCTTTTCCCTCTCCTCCTCCTCCTGCTCCTGGAGGCGGCATTCGACTGATGATGACAATCTGTGACTTCAGTTCCCTGCTTTAGAGCCAAGTATTTTCCTAACTCAGGGCAGGACGTGAGAGCTGGAAAACAGCATCAAGATTTGACCTGCACTTCAGGTTTGCTACTGTAATACAAATTGTACAGGGAGGTGAGTGTTAGGGAATAAGACCCGGAATGAATCAGCAGAGCTTTTGGCTGTGAAAGGAGGTAAGGACTGAAGGGGGGCATCCAGGTTGTATAATTGGAGAGAGCGGGAGGTGAACATGAGGGAGTGAGACCTGGAATGGATCAGCAGAGATTTTGAGGGTTAATGGCCTCAGCAGAATGGACAGAATCAGTGGGGTTTAGGGATACTGTACGAGTACAAAGTCTTTCTCTCCACTCACTAACTGCCATGCTGCCCTGCCTGACCTCAATGTCCAGAACCTTCTATAATCTGCCTTGTATTCCTGCAGGATCTTCATGCCTTTCCTTTCCTTACTGGAGAAGAAAGTTACTTCCAACTAATTCCTGGACCCTTCTTTTATCCACCTCTCTGAGGCATGAGGTCTACAGCACACCCAGCCCTGCAGAAGCTCCTGTCCATCCTTCTGCTCTTCTTGGGAAGATGTCCATTGCAGTAGGTAGGGCCCGGGTCCGTAGGTGGGAAGAAGTGGCAAGGGAGAGCTGGCTAGAAGGACTCAAAGAGCACTGGATTTGGGAATCTGTCTGCCATGAGAAGAAGGGCAGTAACTGCTCCTGCTTTCCAACCAAATAGAAGTAAATTAAAAAGCCATAATAACAACAACAAAAAAAAAATACTTTCTAGATGAGACGACAGGTTGTTAAGATCCGGTCTGTGAACGTACCATGGAATGCAAGCTGCCCCCATCCCTTGGCTGGGGTCAGAGGAGGAAACCATACCTCTCAACCACAGTGAGCTTTTTGCTTGGGCCCAAAGACTTCACTCTAGGAAATACTGCTATTGTACAAAGGTGTTGTGTGTATGCCCTAAATGTTGAATTTCCACTTTGTGGGCTTAATAAAGCACATATGGTTCTAAGAGTTACACATGCAGAGTATGAATATACCTTTTAGAAAATGTATCTTTTTTTCTCTTTTATTGATAAACTTTGCCAAAACTACTTCATTGGAGGCAGATTCAGTTGAAGTGCAGAAAGTGAATTATAGGAATTAAGCCATTCTCTCGTTCTTGCACTCAGTGGTTCTAAACTACTTACAAGAACTGATTTTTCAGAGTTTTTTCTATTTTATGATGAAATGCAAATATGGACTTTGGCAAGAATGGAACTGTTGACATGTGCAAAGTTGCTTGTTCTTATCTTTACTCATTCACAAAATTCAACTGAAATATGACCATTCTTCTTGCAAAAGCATGTAATTCTTTGGTGGCTGTAGAATTTAATTCAACCATGACACTGAAAAAGACACGAT